CCCCCCCCCCCCCCCCCCTCCCCCGATCACCCCTCCTGCCCTTCCCACCCTGGCCAGCACATGACCATGCGTGCGCGCTTGCCCCGTTTTGCTTGGTCCCTCCTCTTCCGTGACCAGCATCATTGCGCGCGCCCACAGCCCAGGCGGCCCTCCTCCCTTTCCTCTCCCCCTTCCAACAAACGACTTTTTTTCCGGCCCACCCAGCCTCCGACCTGCCAACTGTCTTTTCCAAGGGTACGCATTCGGCCCTGATTTCAACAAATCTGGAGCTCAATTCCGGTCCCACACCCGAAAATCGTGCAGAAAATGCATTAACTTGGTTTCCAGGCCTCCAACCAAAACTAATGCTTGGAAAATCGATACAAAGCTGCCGCATCCCGGCCGATGCCCCTGGCCCACTCCCCAGGCTTTACTCTCCCTTTCCCTGTTTTGCTCCGTCTTCGTCTGACCGATCTGATCTGGTCTGATCTGATATGCATCTTATTATTTTTTTGTGATGTTGCTTTGTCTAGTCCTGCTGGGCCCTGCCTCGCCTTGCTCTGCATGCACTGCCTTGCCTTACTTTACACATTTCATTGTCTTTATCTTTACGTTGGCCTTGTGCCTCGACCTTGACCTTAACCTCAGCTTGTGTTGTGTCATGCTTTGTCCAGGGGCATATCGTGTGATATCATACTGTGTTTTCGTGTACAAGTACACATGCTAGCGCACATGGATGTGAATTATGTTGCGCTCTGTGGCTCACTTCTTGCTGATGAGGTTTGGTATGCACTGAATTCTGACCTCCGGCTGAAGTTTCGTCGGAATGCATTTGGGGCAGACGCGAACTCAGACTGTCGACAAGCAGATGTTGACGATAGCCAGGCATGGTTTGAGGCTGCACTTGAGTGTTTTCTGCCGAGTCCGCCGACGGCGCCTGGGCACGTCGACCCCGACTGCTCATGGCCGCAGGAAGTTGGAGACATTGTAGCTAGCTGCCGTGACAGCGCTTGATGACACGCCCCATGCATGCAGGATACACCGAAGCAAAGCAAACAGACACATATATCGAGAGCTTGAAGAAAGCGAAGACGAAGCCGCCGCACTGGCAAACCTCGGCTCGCTTCACCTGCAGCCGCAATCATACCACGAGTCACACGCAGAACATGCAGAGCTGATGCCCTGAGCGCATGGATTTGCGGAGCCTGAAGAGCTTGAACCACAGCTGACAGAACTGTGTCGCACCCTTGCATTCTCAGAGGCGGTGAGGTGACCAAACTTCGCGAGCTCAACGAGAGAGCTGTAAGTTTGGGCAAGGGGGCTGTTTGGGCGAACCAGCTCCTGTTTACACTGCTCATGCTGCTTCACAAACTCTTAACAGACAACTGGGATCATGTGCGCACTTGCAGAGCTTACATAGCCAAGGGGTGTAGAGAGCAGTCAGCCAGCGCTGTGAACGTGATATAACGTGATAGTTATTGGGTCATCTTACAGTCAGGAAGGCCCAAGTGAAAGGATGTCTGACCTAAGTGGGAATGGTGTGCAGCGTGAGGGTCCAGCAGCGCACAATTCTACGATTTGTTCCATTCCTCGAGCTCATTGCAGGTGCTTCCAGCAGATCCAGACGGAGAGACACGCACCCATCTCGGGTTTCTGAATGCTTCGTGCATGCGCCTACCGCATTGAATGATTTGGACAGTCCGTTTCTCAGGCTAGCGCGGCGTAGGAGCCTAACTCTGAGGCTTGCTACAAGATAAGGGTTGACGTCCTGGGCTTGAGGTCCCTGGCCCACGACTACCTCGCAGTCACGTCGGGTGCTGTGCCGTGATGCAGGTATCTGGAAGCTTGGGCGGGAAGCAATGAGAACGTGGAGCTCGAAGTCGTGCACGGGCCTCGAAGTGCACAGCTTTCGTGTCGAACGAAGAGGAGGTTGCCTTGCTCTTGTGTGGAGGCCGTTTTGGAAATCGCAGAGTAAGAAGCGCGACAACAAGGTCTTACGCCTCTATGACAGCAGAACAACGAGGCCTGCGCAGATGCTTACACCGCGATGCGCTGCGTTACCCCGGGAATGCAGGTTTCTGGAGTTCTCGGACCAGAACCCGAGCTTCCAGACAGCGACGAAGGCTCCCTGCTCGGACCAACTCGGCACAGTCTGCTTGAGTGGATCTTGAGTTCCGGTGCCAGTTCGATAGAGAATGCGAAGACTACATGAAGAAGATGGAGCAGCTCCTTCTATTTCAGGTGTGGAGTCATTGCAGAATCTCATCCTCATCACGTACTGTTCGCAGTTCGTTTTTCATGATGTGTTTCGGGGGCGTCTGGCAAGAGCTCCGGCAGTTGACGAGTTCATCTGGTCTGCCGTTTGGGATCAAGTTTTGTGCTTGTTTCTCGAGTCGCATTCGCAATGTACGCGGCTCAGCATCGGGAGCAGCGGCACTTCGGGAGCGAGGAAGTTTGTGAAGTTCACGAGTGTGCAGGCCGCAGACTTTCAAGAACAGATGCGGCTCCTCCTCGTGGAGACCTGATGCCGTTGCTTTGAAGCAGAAGCAAGCGATAGCGCTGCAATGTTCCTGCAGATCCCCGAGTGCTTGACTTCAGGCTGCGGCAATTGTCGGCTGCGCTTTGGCAACCGTTTCTGCAGCAAGAGCAGTAAATGCCGCCTGGACGAAGGATTTCTTGGTTGCATGTTGCTGCATGGTGCGCTACTATTTCCCGCATTCCTTCCGTCCAGCTCTCCGCACCTTCTTCCTGTTACTTGCCTAGGATTGCAGCTTCGTGGCACCTGGCCGAACATCACTGGGACGACCAGCTGCTCACTCAGCCGAGGAACCTAGGGAGAAGTGAAGCAGGACAGGAGCTGCAGATGGAAGATGTAGCTTGTGAGCCCTTGTTGCCAAGCACCCTAGGCTTTGGCACATTCCGGTCATCCGGTGCCTTGGTGTCTGGAACCACGACCGATATCAGACGCACGAAATCTTCGGCATCCTAGGTGCTCCAGAGGACGTCTTTCTCAGTCTCGAAAGGGCAGGCCATGCTTACCCTGACGGGTGCGGCATCGGCGTGTGCGCTATGCCTTAGAGGCACCGTTCCAAGCTTGAAGGGGTCACAAGTTCACCATACGTTACATCGAGCCGTGGGAACAATTTGCAGCGGAGGAGTGCGAGGCAAGCAGATGGCGCTGCGAGCGCGGGGTGGTGCAGCTTGGTGTGTACTGAGTCTGCGGTACTAGTAGGCATTGTGAGCTTCCAACGTTTTGGACCAAGGACCAAGACTACTATGAGGTCCTGGGTGTGAGCAAGAACTGTTCGGAAAGGCTCGTTTGCTTCGAGAATTCATGTCTTTGTCTTCCACAATATGCAGAGGAACAAGATGTGAAACGATCGATTCTGCTGAACGCAAAGAAGCATATGATGTGGAGACGGATGGACCCTACGGGCAATGAGCGCGACATATGCTGGCTGGTGCAGCTGGCAATTCGACAGAAGCTGAGAGAAGCACGGAAATCACGAAAGACCTTCACCGGTCACCAGTGGAATTACACTGATAGCAGAGCACGGCTGGTTCGCAGTAGACGGTGTCAGGGGGATGTGCAGGGATGTGCACAACAGATCGCAACAGTCACGCCTTGGGAGTCGGCCGTCGAGGCTGTACTACATCAGGGTCAGATCCCTGGAACGAGTCGGAGGTATGAAGAGAGTAAAGCGGGGGAGGTAGGGAAGGCAGAGAAACAAGCGAAAAAGGATTCTTTCGTTTTCAAGGCTAAAGGCTCGGAAAAGAGGAGGGCGAGTGACAAAGGCAGACCGCCTCGGCCATCTGCAGCTTTGGTTTGCATTCTTACTCGGCTACGCCATGCCAAGATACAAAGGGACTTTGGTGGAGTGTTGGGGCTGTCAAGCATCTCTGACGGGTAGCTGCATGTGGAAGGTAGAAAGGTCTTTTAGGCCCTTTCTTGGGATGTGGTCTTTGCCTGCTCTCGCCTGCTCGCCTGGAACGCGCTTGCATGCTGTTTGAGTGAGTGGGAGAGTTGCCCAAGAAGCCAGGGACCTCAAGACTGCCTTCCGCAAGCTCGCGCGGCAATGGCACCCGGTGATGGACTAAGACGTCGTCTTAGGGTGTCCTTTGCTATCGGCGTTGCCCCAGACCATGGTCGGCTTGCGCGTTTCTCAGGATGTGAACAAGGAGCCCGGTGCGCAGGAGAAGTTCCAGAGCATAGCGAAAGCCTACGAGGCGCCCTCTGCCTTTTGCAGGCCGAAGTCACGGCAGGCTGCATGCAGTAGACATAAATAAACTGGAGAGCCAGCAAATCCTGTACGCGTTTGAGGTGTCTGAAATTAAAAGATTGAGAGCCTGTACGACTTTCATCTCAAAGGCTTTTGGCTTGGTCAGGTCCTGTCTGACCCGCAGAAAAGGCAGATGTATGATCAGTGCCTTTCTTGCATTGAGACAGAGCCTGGTCGTTTTGATGTGTTGACATAGACATAGATATAGACATAGATACAGACAGACGGACGGACAGCCAGAGACAGAGAGAGACAGCGGTCGGGCGGGCCTAAGGCCTGAGGGTCGCAAAGCCCTGCAGAACGACAGAAAGAAAGAGGGAAAGAAAGACCGAAAGAGACAAAGAGATGCAGACAGAGACAGACAGGCAGGCAGGCAGGCAGGCAGGCAGGCAGGCAGGCAGGCAGGCAGACAGAGAGACAGAGAGACAGAGGCGAAGACGGGATCCCGGAAGTGGTCCACCCAGCGGACGCCATTGGCCTCTCCATGGGGGGGGAAGAAGCCGCAGCACGTACCAGAACGGAGAGCAGTACTGCCCTCTTGCTGAGCGACGCCGCGGAGGACTTCAAAAGAATTGTTCCATCTTTGGAGGGGGAGCAACTGACAGCAGCCTTTCAGTTACTTCACGCTCTGGAGCAATGGCGCCAGTCTCAGTTTGGGGGACAGATCGCTGTCCACAATGGAACCCAGACAGAGGAGATGGGCTTGGAAGCAGCTGCAGCAACTGGGGGGACAGAAGCGGAGGTAGCAGAGCCTCAAACCGAGTCCTACAACCCGCCACCTGTACCGGAGCTGTACCACGAGAGCATGGAGCCAACAGTTGCTGCCAGTGACGAGAACCTTCAGACAGGGGGGAAAACAGCCACCAGCCACCAAGGAATGTGGCTAGGCTTACGAGGAACCACGGAAAGCCAAGCAAACAAGTTCCTTGGGAGCCTGGAGCAAGACCTGGACGACTTGGTGGGGGCGCCGACGCTGCCTACTACAGCCACCCTGGCCGACGACGACACCATGGTGCTGCCGGGGGGATCCTATCCGTTTCCGGAGGGAGGTGATAACACACTTCTCGATGGAGAAGGAGGGGAAAGTGAGCCGAGTGAGCCGGCCTCCAGTGAAGCGAGCCACCGTAGACGTAGAGCCCATGCGGGGTGCCACTAAGCTGCAGTGTCTCTCCCTAAGGTTAGGTTCAACTACTGCTTGCTCGAAGGTTTCAGTCTGGTGCAGCCAAGGGGGGAGTCCAGCAGCTACAACAGCACAGAGCTTGACAGGCAGACCTACTTCCGTTCAGGCATAAGTGTGAGAGGGGAGCATGCATGTTGACATGTTTACATGTTCATGTTCGCATGTGTGTGTCGGCAGAGTACCCAGCCGTAGAGTAGTTGCTCAGTCCGGCCCTCAAAGTGATTGTGCTTGGTCTTCAGCTGTTGCAGGGGGTGAGTTTGTGTACTGTTGTATCCGAAAACCATGTTGCGTATCGGTAATGCAAGGGGGGACCGGAAAGCAAAACACAGGGGAAAATGCCCTGAAAGAGTACTGTGAGAGCCGCTCTGAAAGGGGGATGCCGTGAGGAGGGGACTACTTTTAGCTGTGTAAGTGTTTTGACTTCGCTGTGTCCTCTGGCATCCCACTCCGCGGGGGACTCTTGTTCCTGTCAAGCCGAGCTCCAAGCAGAAAATCTGTTTGGAGG